CAGGTTAATCATCGTAAAATCTTTATTTTGTGATACCGTTCAGAGGCAAGTTTCGAAGGCAGTTGGGTTCTTATTCGGTTTTTTGATCAGTTCACTTTTCTACAAGACAAGGTCAGTCTCTCCTTTCATTAAAGATCGTCAAGTTTTTATACAAGCAACTGGCTCTGATGATGGAATTTCTGTTCCGAAAACGTTAAGCCTGCAATAAACGAATTCAATCGAGTAAATCGTAAAAAACAGTAGAAAATGGCCATTTTTTGTCTCGAGAACATGAAATTTGTCTAGAGAATCGAATGAACACGCGTGAAATTGGTGCGTTTACGTCTCGAGAACATGAAAATTATTACATAACAATCTCTAGCTCGACTAAAAGACACCAAAAATTGAAGATTTTCTGTCTCCGAGACTGTGATAACACGAGAGTCAGCGCATTTTGCTCCGGAGAGGCGTAAAATAATGGATAACTTTGTTCTAGATGGGCGGGTGAAAAAAAATCCCCCGCGAGCCGCACAGGGGGTGCTCTGACCGAGACGCATAGGGTAAAGAAATGGCCTTCAAAATAAGCCCTCAGCCTCTTACGTAGCGAAGCCCGAAAAAAAATAGTTCGACCTAAAAGTTTGGCTTTTTGTCGAGCTGGCTGAAGCGCGACTTCGGGGGCGCTTCGTTGATTTTTGACTTGAGATATTTTTAAAATTTTTTTTGCCAACATTATCTTCAGAGATTCTTCTTTGTATTGCAGTTTTTACTTTTTCTCTATCATTCTTAATTCAGTCGCTATTGGCGAAAAGTGAAATTTAACTTCAAAAGGATTCAGCACTTTCGATTTTGAAGATATGAAATTATAATTTCATTCACCGGAAAGCCCAAAAAATTCTATACAAAAGTTACCTAATGGCCAATTAGTAATGGGGTTATGATAACAATAACCTGCCGAGTGAAAGATGAGCTTTTCCGGAGTGGATCGGTTCCACAGCGAGTGTTCGCGCTGCGCGAGGCAATATTTTGGCTTGTTTGCGCTTGATTCCCGCAAAGCGCGCGCTAATAACTATGGATTACAGATTCTTACCACTACATCAATGATTTTCATATGACCCTATTAGGTAACTTTTGTACAGAATTTTCTGGGCTTTCCGGTAAATGTAATTTTCCTGTTTTTGAACTTTTTGAATTTTCATTTAAAAGCTGTACTTAGGGCTGACGAAAGTCCACTGAGACCGAAACGCGTCCCAAAAAAAAAAATAAAAAAAAAATAAATAAAAATTTCAATCATCAAATGTAATTATATTTTTATATCTTCAAAATTGAAAGTGCTGAATCCTTCTGAAGTTAAACTTCTCTTTTCGCCGATAGCGACTGAATTAAGAATGATAGAGAAAAAGTAAAAACTGCAATAGAAAGAAAAGTCTCTGAAGATAATGTTTGCAAAAAGAATTTTGAAAATATCTCAAGTCAAAAATCAATGAAACGCCCCCGTAGTCGCGCTTCAGCCAGCTCGACAAGGTCCCTCAAGCGATTTAGTGGAAAAATTTCGAGAAATCGAGATGGTAAGATTTAAAATCACTCAAGAGTCTAAAGAGAGAATTTTCTGTAAAAATTTTTTTGAAAATACAAGATTTGAGTTTTATGTGCATTTATAGGTAAGATTGCTTTCAAAAAATCCCTTAGATCATGACGAGAAACAAGTCTTTCGAGATAAAATTGGCGTTTAAAGCTTAAGTTTGACCATTAATTTAGACGATCAATTGACAAAGAATGTCAATAAATTTGATAACCTCTTTTTTTGAATGTGACCCAAGAAAACCGCTTAAATCTGAAAAATGACCACAAATTTGATGTCCACAAATTCCATAAAAAACTTTACTGGATATCTGTCAATAATTTCATCGACCATCGTTTTATATCGTTATATATATATTTGAGGACCCAAAGTAAAAAGGCACGAACGCGCTAGACAAGGTTTTATAAGATCCTTGTGCATGAAAAAAATTCAGCTTCATGAGAGAAAAAGACTTCAAAGGCTTACAAAAGAAAAGATTTTGAAAAGATAATCAGATAATAGCTCATGACAAAGATCTTATTTTGATTTGTCCGATGAATAACACTGTTGCTACCTGATGAAAGAAGATCGCTGACGGCATCGATCTTTTTTCGCCGATAGGCAGCTACACGACACAATCGCGAAATATCAACTTTCGAATTTTAAATTCTCATTCCCGGCAAAAAACTCTGCCCAGCTTGAGCACTTATACCGCGATTGGCATTTCTGACTGACTGATTCTGATTTTCGAGTGAAATAGCTAATCAACCAATTAAAATTTGACTCTAGTGTCTCTTCTTTGAGAGTTCCGTCAAACCAGTGACGCCTACGCAATCTACGTTACAAATCTCCTATGTTTTTAGCATGGAGAATTGTAACGTCAATGTGCATCTTTCAAAAATCAGTCAGTCAGGACTGCCAATCGCGGTACCTTCAAAAATTCACCTTCACAAATTTTAGTTATAAATGGCCCTGCTAAACATATTTTGCCGGGTATTTGACTACGCATTTCTGCAAAAAAGCAAACATTGATCCCTTGTTAATATTCTGGCTTCTCCGTCAATAAGATGTGATGCTATTTGTTAAGAGAATTACAGTAGGGTGGTCAATTTGGGAGTGCTTAATTTGGGAGTTTTTGGTCAAAATCCGAAAAATTGTGAAAATAAACCCTCAAAAAAATTGAAATTTTTTGAGTGAAATCCGCAGTTCCACCGCTTTTCATATTCAAAATTGCATCGATATCGAGTACAGTTTTTTTCCATCTTAAGAGGCCCCAACTTAAGAGGACTTTTGCGTCAATTTGGCTGATTTTGTCACCCTGAAAAATTCCAACTTAAGAGGACTTTCATGATAATTTTATTAAATTTTAGAAAATTTCTATTTACCATGGCCAGCCACGGTGCACGACCTGTGGATCACTGGTCAAAGAATCAGCTCTTTCAGCGAAGTGCTTTTGATATTTAAAAAATAGAAACTGTTGGACAATTCATCGATAAGCTTAGGCCCCCTAAGCGTGGTATGGGCTGATTCTTCGGCAAGACCGAAGAATTGATGCTTTCAATAACACTGATTCTTCGGCTAATTGAGAATTGCCTTGAACCGAAGGATTAATGACAAAATTGACAGTGATTCTTCGGCAAATTTTCTAGAATCCTTTATCAAAATTCTTTTGATAAATCTTTGATTGCAACCTATGAGTCATCACTTATGAAAAAGGACATTTTCTAGAAAAAAAAACACATTTTAGCAATAAGTACTTTCTATAAATTGAGGTTAGTGTTAGGGGGCACTGGGCAAAATGACAGAACTTACTCACCCGAGGGGGATAGGCTAGGGTTAGTTAGGGTTACCGAAGGTAACCCTAAGTAACCATAGACTAGACCCCGGCATTTTAGGACCTAAGGGGCGGAGCCCCGTGGTTAGGCCCTAACCGTTAGGGGCACATGAATCTGTGAATAAATTCATCTTTGCCGAAGAATCAGTGCATCTTTTATCACTCATTCTTCGGTTTATGCCGAAGAATCAGTGTTCTTATACGCATCAATCCTTCGGCCTCCAAGCCGAAGAATTAGGCCGTATCACCCCCCTAAGGTCCCCTTACGGCTATTCTCAGTTAGGGTTAGGAAACAGCCTTACTTTGAGGATTACTAGATGCACCATGTATGGTGCACAGCAATTATAGTGCTCACACCTCTGAAGGTGTTTTTGGCCGGTAGGCTAAAATTTTCTGAAAAATGCACCGAATAATCTCCCTCTTCAAATTCGACGTCTGTATCCGATGCTGAAACCCAAACCCAAATCAGAGCCAATTTTGGCATAAATTTTGATTTTTCTTCGTCAACACTTCCTGTTATCAAGTTTTTGCAGCAACTTTAATCTTCGGACGCATTAGGAAGCAAAAATATGGGGTTTTTAAAAATTTCAAATTTTGAAAATATGTGTACCTGATTCGACTCGAAAATTTCCAACTTAAGAGGACTTTTGCTCAGCCCTTGTAATCTCAAAAGGCCTCTGAAGATGGAAAAAAACTATAATATACTGTATATTTAGTTTCTTACGGTAGCCTTCAGAAGGTCTGACTGAATATTTTTATATCTTCTCCTTTTTTTGACCTTCTCTTCACGTTACTACATTAGAGTTAGAGTTATATTTAGGCCTTAAGACGCCTAGTGTTTACAAGATCACCAAGTCAAAACCAGAGTTCGAAATCGCCTTGAAGGCTAGGCTAGACGAGGTTAGGCGAATACGCATAGAAATCGTCCCCCAAGCCAGAGAGCCTAGGACAAATTAAATCGAATTTAGACAAAAGTGAAAAATTTTTCCAATCAAGTTTATTTTGCCATACATGAATTCAGCGTGTTCGAAAACCGCGGAAAAACTTTTATTTCCATCTTCCGAAACCGAAAAGTGATAAGCGCGGCGCTTCAAAGTCCCGAAATCGGAAATTTTCGACGTTTAGTTTTGGGAAGAAGTAGAATAGATATCAAAATTCTAATTTTACAGAGTTTTAGATAATCGTTTGAACCGTTGCGGAAACGTTTAAAAATTATAAAATGTTTATGGTTAACCCCTTTTTCTAGCGCTCAAAGTTGACCTTATATTTGTGAGCGCGCGCAACCCTCATCTTCGCCGATCGACTCGCTCAAAATGCTTGGATTTTCATGAAAATTAGTAGACATACGTAACTTTTTCTCCTCTTTTTAAATTCGAATTTTTATTTTAGCTTATTTTGGGGGAGAGTTACAGCGGTACACAGAAGCTCAAGTTTAAGCACACTTAAGTTCCTCAAATATTATCGATTTCATAATAAATAAAAGCTCATTAAAAAGCTCGTGTTTTTTTATATAAGAAAAAATTCATTGAGTCGCATAAAGACATTATTGATGATAAAAATCGGTCTGTTTACAAAAAAATCAATGCGTCAAATTGTTCTGTCCATTTGAAACTGCGCAGGAGCTTCCGGATGGACCTGAGCAAGAACGGGTACTCGAATTCCTACGACGACATTGCGAAGAGCTATGGGTTTCAGCTGATGTACGCTGGAGAAAACATGCCCAAGGCACCGATATCCTCAGTCAATCTGCTGATCGTTGGATTCCGTCAGAAAAACGAGGGACTAATCAAAACAATAATGTCTTCTGTGGACGGACTCGACCTCCAACTGCCCTTCAGCGAAGAATTGGCTTCAAAATTCAATAAAGTAGAAGTGCTACGATACGGGAGAAAATTGGCCGGAGATATTGGCATCGCGCATTTCGATCCGAAGCTCAGAAATACGACGTTCGCGAGTTTGGCTTCGAAATTCATCTCATGAGCATTATTTCCTGATCTCGACACATGCGTCGCGCCCAACGTAATCTCGGCGGAGCTGCGACCCCTCAAGCGGGATGCCCGGAGATTACTTCCCGGCACATACTTCTGAGTCGTTTATCACAGTAGAGCCGAGATCGGCTAAGTAGATTGCAGGTGCATTCTATTGACGACAATCTGGGTTACTAGAGTGCCAATTGTCACGCTTTCTTGAAGAAAATCACCACTCTCAAAATTTCAAAAGTTTTGCCCTTTCCACACGAAAATAATTTTCTTTTTCTTTCTTCATTTAACGTTAATATTTCAGTATAAATGAAGTTAAGGAGTGAAGTTGTAGTGGTTTTACAGAATTGCTCTAATTACGATCACGCCGCGGGGCAAAGCAAAGCTTGCCACGCGAGCACGGCGCGTAAGTGAAAATGATGGCGCACTAGCGCTGGCGAAATAATCGACTCTTAAACGCGCGCCCTTCCTGAAAAACCAAATAATCCGTTTTAAAACGCCGCTCTTCAAATTATTCTCACATCCTGATGCTCGAAATCCGATTAATCCGCTAAAATGGAAGTATTCCTTTTCCAAGTGACAAAATCCGTTGGTGACGAATTATGACGTTCATGTTCAATTAATCCGATGAAAACGATACGATCGAATAACAGCCGATTAATCTACTGGGAACCCGAAAATTTGAAAAACTATAAAAACCGCTCACCATCTCTCTCACATTCATTCTCACTTTTGCTCGCTCAGAGAATAGATCAAATAAAAAGCTCAAAAACCTTACTCTTTTTATACACAGCCAACTTTGCTCAGTTGTCTGTAAATTTCTCTTGTGTTCACTCATTTGCATAGGTTGCAAAACCATTACAAATTTGGTGACTGAGAAAAACGCTTCCCCCATATAGAGATTTACGATTGAAGAGAGCTGCTGTAAAGAAACATGACTCGCTATTTCAAACTTGCCTCTGATCTGAATCGAGAAGAACTGCTGAAGATCTACGACCATGTTTCGAATCAAACGTATCCTCCACAGCTCCCAATCGCAGATAAGTCATCAATTGTTCTGAATATCCACAAGTTGGATGTGGAGTTTTTCGCCGAAAATCGTAAGTTCGTGTTCAACGAGGAAGGTGAATTCACAAACTACCTCCATGATGACGAGGGAAGCGACGAGATAAATCAGAAGTTCGCTAAGAGGCATCACAAGATGGAGATCAGGCAAATCCTGGCATCCGCTCAAGCCACAACACTTGCCGAGCTCATGATCTCCATGAAAATGGGAGAAGCCACTGACAATGAAAGCTCGGAAGAATCTCTTCCAGACTCTATTGACTGGAGTAAACTTGATGAAACGGTTCGACAGAATCAACGATCAGCTCCGAAGAATGAACCGAAAATCAAGAAAGAGACTCCTGATCAAAACCACAAAAAGGAGGGAGAAGCTCCAAAGGTTCCAAAACAACGGTCAAGATCCCGACACGAACCAAAAAAGGGCGATAACTTCAAGATCAAGACTCCCAAGTTTGACCCCTCGGTCCCCATACAAAATTGGTTAAAGTCAATGGAAATCTACAGGTTCTGCTACGGTCTCTCGCAAGAAAACCTGATCCAAGTCAGTCTCGCTCAACTTCTGACTGAAGAGACCGGAAGCGCACTGATCGAAGCGATCTCAGCTGATGAGCTCAAAAGCTGGGATCTTTTCAAAAACAAACTCACTCTCATCCTCGGAAAGGATGCCGAACATTACAAATTTCAGTACAACACCTTCCAACGTGGGAGTGAATCACAATTCATGGCGCTCACAAAGCTCATCGCCTTCTTCAAGAAAGGATACGGCAAAGAAACCCTTGATCCAGCCGACGAAAGCATAATTTGCGAAAGGTTCATCAACGCTCAAGAACCGCGATTATGTGAGTTGCTCAGAAGGGAAAAATCGCTGCTGACTCTCAAAAACATCGCTCAGCGCAGCACTGAACTTGAAAGATCGTTCTTCAAGAAAGAAAATATATTCACTGCAGAGAAATCCTCACCGACACAAAGCTCAGAAGTTTCAATGCTCTGCTCAAAATTGAAAGAAATTGTGTCTTCAGCAGTCAAAAAGGATCAGCCAAAGCCAAAAGAGCCAAAGCGGAAGAGAAACAGAATCGACACTTCAAAGATCGACGGTTTCTGCATCAGCTTTGTCAAAAGGGGATCGTGTAAATTTGGATCAAAATGCAAATACATCCACTCCGATGATGTTCCAGCTCACGTAAAGAAATTGATCAAAAACGAGGAATGACTATCAAAGGTCACCGAAACGTGTAAATATGCTCATTTTGCACCGACCTCGCTCAAATATGTCAAGATCACGCTCCACGGACTGACCTTTCCCGCTCTTATTGACACCGGATGTAGCCGAACTTGTTTCCGCTCCGATGTAATCGACCTACTTCCAGCTCACGTCAACAAACAAACACCCTCGAATATAAGGCTCAAGTGTGCGAATTCAGAAATCGTTCAAGTCAGTACGCTCAGCTCCACGATCGAAGCAAATCTGATAAGAAATGAATCGCCACTCAAGATCAAACTCAACCCGCTCATTGTTCACAACCTTTCGTGCCCGATCATTCTTGGCATGGATACGCTCAAGCAAGTTACGATTGGAGAAAGCTCGACAACTCTCCTAGGAAAATCTATCCCCACGATCAATCCAAATTCCTCAGATCTGCTTCTCACAGGAATTATAGAGGTGGATAGAAAATCTGGCTCTGAAAGGGAGGAATACGATCAGTTCCTCCAAAGACGTTCACAAGCCGCCGAAAGGATCAATTTCAAACCCGATATCGGATCATACGGGTCAGCAAACAATGTTCAAAAGGCTCAATTGGATGAACTTGTGTACAAATATCGGCTTAGCTTCTCAATGGACTCGGACGATCTTGGACGACTGTTTGGATTTCGTACCACCCTTCAGCTCTACGATGAATCCAAAACTTCTCACCAGCCTCCAAGACCAATACCAATTCACTCTCAAGATCAAGTCGATGAAGCGATGACGAAATGGAAACAGCTCAAAGTCATTCAGAAAACCCAATCCGCTCACAACATTACTCTGATCATCCTTCGAAAACCTGATCAAACAATACGAATCAGTCTTAACGCTCGAGGAATCAATTCACTTCTCATCAAAGATGAAGTTCTATTTTCTTTTGAAAATCGTTCGTTAACTTCAAAAGAAATGGCTCTTGCTCAACGATCCTGCTCAAAGACGAAAAATCTCATTGTCAAATCAGAAATCAACAATTCTTCGAAACAATTCAAGCTCAAAGACAATGTGTTCTTCTCAAATGATCGGCTCGTTCTGCCAAGTTCTCTTGCTGATGAATTTATTCAATATCTGCATACGATCACGGCTCATGCTGGGAGTCAACAGCTCATGCAGATGCTCAAGAAGTTCTTCATAAGCAATGTTGAGCAAAAAGTTCGCTCAATTACAAGTTCGTGCGAAACTTGTATCCGACTCAAACCGCTCAAGAGTCTTCGACCATCGCTCATCAAAGACCGACAATTTGCTCCACTACCTTTCGAAAAAGGCTTCATTGATCTCGTAGACTATGGACGACCGGATGCTCAAGGTAAACAATACCTGCTCACATGCGTCGACAGTCTCACCGGATATTTGGACGGTGAGCCCCTCTCAAACAAATCCGATAACCTGGTCGCCCGAGCTCTTCTACGAATCATCCTTCGCCATGGAGTTTCTCAATATTGCATCTCAGACAATGGCAGAGAAGTCGGACCAAAAACAAGATCAATCCTTAATCGGTTTGAAATTCGACACATCACCACAACTGCTTATTACTCAAGATCAGATGGAAAATGCGAAAGAATCCACCGTGAACTCCATCAAAAGCTCAAAGCTCAGCTCGCTACAAATCGCTCATGGTCTGAATTTTGGCCGCTCGCTCAATATTTCATCAATAATTCGCCAAAAGGAAGCCTTGATGGATTGTCAAGCAATCAGTGTGTATTCGGACGACAATTTCACGTACCGTTCTCGCTCAAAGAAACTGCCGCCGATACCTCGGAATCTTTCATCAAAAGTATCAATCAATACATGAAGACTCTACATCATCCTCTGCCCAATTTCCAAGTTCAACAATACCAGAAGCTCCTTAAAAGAGACAAGAATAACTGCCCTTTGCTCGAGATCGGCACCTCTGTTCTCTGCTGGAAACCGGATCTCATCTCTGGAAAACTTGGGATTCACTGGTCAGGTCCTTATCGAGTTCACAAAAGGATCTCCAAGGATAGTTACATTGTCAAGTGCCCGCTTACGAAGAAAGAGTATCGACGACATATCAGCCTGATCCGACCGCTCCGACTCAAAACGACTGAAAATCAAACAAAGTTTGTCGTCAAAGAAAACACTGATCAAAAAGCGGAAGAAGATCAGCTCGATCAAGATCTTGCTCAAGTTCCTGCTCATAATGATACGAAAGAAGTTCAAAGTATCAGAAGCCCTCATAAAGATCAACATGAGCCTGTTGATAGAGATGATGGACTTCAAGTTCAAGCTCCTAAATGGAATCATTGCCTTCGCTCACGACGATGTTGATCAAACCATTAAACTTATGCTCCTGTTCCTGCTCACGTTCACACTTGTTTACGAAGTTCGCTCAAAATCTGTGATAAAAAGTCCTGTTCTCAAAAGGTTAACCTGAAGCTCAAATATTGGATCATAAACTACGGCAATGTTTATGCACACTGGATCGGCTCACTTCAAAGCTCGAAGTCATCCCTGTTCGCTCGATCAAAGGGAATCCAGTCCCGCTCATTTGCTGTGCAGAAGTTTCATACAGGCCTCTTTGGACTTGTGTTCTCATAACCCAGCTAATGTGTTTATCAATTGCGCACACGATGGACACCACTTTTCTGAACCTTGGTCCACTCCTCTTAAGATGCGAAGCAATGCGTGCAGTTGCTTTGTCACATTCAGATAATTCATAATCAAGTTGGTCAAGG